TCACTTTTATTGAATGAATCAAAATTGGTATATATATATATTTATAACATCCGTCGTTTTTTTCTTATCTTCTTAATATACTAAAAACGAACAAATATTTTAAAAATCGATAACTTCAATTTAAAAGTCTGTCATTTCGTAAATAATCAAGATTATTACGTTATTTTGTTTAAGCAGAATATAACACACGTGTTTTTAATTGTTTCGATTTAAACAAAATTCATGATGTCTTTCAAATACTTACAAATGAATGCGTAAATACATAGTTCTTTGCAAAAGAATTCCTAAAAATGGTTTAAAAAGTAAAATTCAAAATCAGAATGTCCCCTTAAGCATCTAATTGAGATGTTCAACTAATTAATAATAGTAACTACACGATTGATTTAACAAATAAGATGAAAACAAAGGGATAGTACCTCACGATTTATGAAACATCAAATAACTTTTTCTAATGCTGCTAAGAAATGATAAATGTCTATAAATAAATATTTGAACCTTGTTGTAGAAACATTCTTTATCATTTTGAACACAACAATAAGGATGCCTTATAACTGACTTCCCATGAAACATATGTAAATGTAACTAACGTACATCTTTCGGACATTATTAATTTAATAATTATTAATTTCGGTGCTGCATGTTTTCTCACCTACGAATCTGCCGCGACTGAATCACTTCACTTTGCAGTCCACAGAAAATAAAGAACAACAATAAACGCGGCGTAGAAAAGTAGGAAATACATGGACACAACCATCGTGGTAAACAGTTCGCATATTCTTCTCACGTCCATATTTGTTGGATAGGATAAAGATATCTATATCAGAAATACGACCTCGCTCTATTCTGAAACAATAGTCGATTAACCCTTTCGTCGATAACCGGGTGTGTGGGCACCCGCTTTCCATTAGCTTTTGACATTTTCGTTATCATTATCTTTAAAAATCACAAAACCTTTCTGTGTGTTCACCTCTGCATAATTTTACAATTGAGGCATGGAAATATCATCAAAAATGTTGAATTTGAAAATCTCAAAATTTCACCTTTGAGGAATACAGTAATTTCTCCTTAATTCGCGCTCAGATTATGCACAAAAATGGACAATTTAGGAAGAGGAGATACGATTATATGAGCTTTGCGTCTCGTTTTTATAGTCGTTGACATGTAAATTTAATCGGTAACTATAAAAACGAGCCATGAGGCTCGAATAATTATATCGCTTCTTCCCAAATTGTCTATTTTTGTGCGCAATCTGAGCGCTGATTAGGGAATCACTTTCGCTATTAGGGGATTAATGAAATAAGGATTAATAAAATTTCGCTATGACTGTCTTAACAGTCCCCATGTAAACTTAATAAAGAAAGAAAGCTTAGAGGCGCGCTGTGGACTCGTATTTGCAAGAGAAAAATTCAGAAAGATGTTGCATCGTCCGTGCACTCATAAGTAAAAATACAAACAAAAATACTTCGTTTGATTTTCGGAAGAGATGATGGTAACGAACATGTTCATAGAACGTATGAATTTGTAAATGTTGCGATTTAAAGACTGAATATTAACCAAATCGCCTAACTGAAATTTTCAATGTAAAAGCATATATTCCGAATGCAGCATGATAGTATTTTTTTCCTATAAAAAATTTCCGCAAGAAATCGTTTACACACAGCTGTATTTAAAAATTGCTCGAAGAGCCTAAAATCCCGCAATCCCGTTTACGCGAGACCGAGACCGGCTGTCAAAGTGTACAAGTCTGGTTTCGCGTTTATTCTGCGTTGATGAACGTCATTTGTTTCCGGATTGACCTATTTATGCTGATTAGCTGTTTCCGACACGTGCAACGTGAAACTTTTTTATACTACACTTCTTATCGACGATTTCGTGTTTGAACACCGATACTGTAGCAATATCATAGAGCATGCTGTGCTCGCGGTGCCGATAATACTGTTCTGTTGTTCGCGGGTTTCACGGGGAACACTAACTGGTTTCATGCGAACCAACATCGCATGGGTTTCAGTAATCGATAAGTTTTATCGCTCTCGAGCGCCATGTGTCTCTGTTAGTTTTTATACTGCTGCACATCTTAGCAAGCACACTTAACAAAACACATCACTCGTATGTCAGACGTTCAATTTTCGAACAGAGATTAATTAACCATCAACCATTCCTCACCTTCCCAACGTCATTTCTTCCTCGGTCTTAGATTGATGCGATGATAAAAGATCAACACGATGCAACATTAAACAAACTGGTTTGTCAATTTTTTCGTTGGAGATAAAGTAAAATGAAAACTTGCGAATACATTTCGAGAAGCAAAAAAGAAAATCGACCGATAGAACTAGAAAATTCGATAAAACGCGCCGTGAAGCATCGCAAAAGTATGCTACAACAAAAGAAATATCGTTAAAGTAACAGATAGCATAAAAACGTTTCCCAAGCTTCTCTGTGGTCTGTGGGAACATCGGAGAAATCTTCTCCGAAGATTCTCAAGTGGCGTGAAATTTGTGGCCCTTGTTCTGGGTGCTGAATAGTCTCTCGGTGCAAGGAAACTCGGTTCTCTTTATCTATGTATATTTTCATCTGTTCTCGGATTAATTCAGACTTCATATTTCTCAACTGTTGTTGTCTCAACTCCATGTTCATGTACAAAGAAATGAATAACTTTCTCTCACATACGTACAAACAATTGTTTATATTTCGTTTAATACCAATCGACTCAGCTGATTTTCCTACCCTACGCGCACAGATGAATTTCTTTTCACTTTTTCATTGTTTTTCCTTTTATTTTTGCTTGTTCTTAATTCAAACGTTATTTCAATGAAAAGAAAATCGGTATCGTTGCTTTCTTTAATCCTACCTGCGGATATGAGAAAAATCTGCTTAACTTTGAGACGCAATTAAACTTAGTTTCAAACAATTAAATTTGAAAATAAATATATGATAAATACCCGAAAGAACGGAAGTTTCATAACAAATGATTCGCTGGCTACAAGCTTCTAAATGTTTACAATGTTGTAAATATATTCTATTTGAGAGATCTGATAAAGCATTCCAAATTAACTTTGCAAAATTAAATTCCTCGAGAGCAAAGGCTGATAGAAATAGTCAGTTCTCACTGTTAAAATACAGGGAAAATGTAAAATGTTTGCAACGAAGCCATTTAGAGGAGTTGGTTGTCGAATGAACAAGAATATACTTACCAAGTGTGACATTTAAACAAAGACAAAAAGTTTGATTTATAGATCAAGAGAGAGGAAACTATGAATTCATTAGCATGCTCGATAGTATGTTGCATGCTATTTCGACGCGCTAGCTAGCCAATGTAACTATAAATTAGCATAAACATCCGCAGTTTAATGTCTAGTGTGGATAATCGAACGTGATGCGAAACACATAGACGTATGAGTCATTGCACTTGCATGCAAGAGGACTTGCTGTACGCGCACTAATGAAGACAACGTGAGCGTAAACCTATACTGACGTACCTTGAGCATCAAATTGCCTTCTTCTACGTAACATGCTCCTTCCCTGAGAAGAGACAAGACCTGTTCTTCCATGATTGTCATTGTGCGGCTCGTCCTCACCCGCACTTGTTGCACTATCACGTTGCACTATTTCGTCGCTTCCGATTGTCGACGACACGACACCACTTCCGATACCGCCGAAGAACTTCACTTTTCTCTCCAGGTCCAAGTAGCCGTGAAAACCCGTCTCGCTTAATCTAATTAAGAAAAATAAATAAAAATACGTAAAACTAAATAAAAAATATAGTTAGAACTTTCTCTTGAAAATATCCTAATGCTTCGGTTACTTCAACAATGGCTGCTTAAGCTTGACTGACATCGTGTTGTCAAATTAGAAAATCAGATAATATTATTACGCTAGTTATTTCAATTTAAGCCTTAGACGATTTATTATGAAATATGCACATTTATTATATTGATTTCTTATACTGATTTAGCGTAACAAGGAATATTAAATATTCCATGCAGAGTCACCTAACATTTCATTATTTTGTCCATTTTAATCATATGACAAAATGCCTAAGGGAAGAATAGTTTGCTTCAGAGACATATCATAAATAAATTACCAGAACAAGATAAATTTTCCTCTAATGTCGTACGTGAATATTTTTCTTACACTTGAATAATGTGATAAATTATTATGAATGGATTACCATACATTTTCTCGATGAACCGTGCGCGTTCCTTTCTGAAATTGAATTGACAAACGGAGTAAAATGAAACTTCGAGGAATTAGTCCATCCTTATCTAAGGTTCCAAAACAAAAACTTAACCCTGACCATATCGGGTCATGCAGGACAATAAAATTCTATAACTGTAAGAACTATCGATACCTAAGCATGGAATTTACAAGATATTAGAAAAACCATTTGTAGAAGCTACAGGAAAATTTCAAGTTGATTCATGTTTTCCTTTACGATTACTTTTTAGTCTGAATTTTGAAACTAAACGTAGACACATTTTGAGAATAACACATTACGCATGGTCAAATTTGTACATTTTTTTTTACAAAAAAAGAATGTTCTTCAGCCTAATAATTGCCTCTCTGAAGCAAACATTTGGTCTTTAGATATTCTTTGCATCGTTAAATGCAACGAAGATATCTTAGGTTTAAGCGTTAGATGACAGTCTGCACAAATCGAACGGCTGGATTTTTTAAGCCAATTTTGAAAGTGTATTTTAGGATTGATATACTGTATCTTTTGTTAACCTTAATTGGTCAAGTAGAATGTAACAGTATCAACTTCATCTTAAGTTTTTTACTATAATATCTTATACTTCACGCCTTCAATTTTGATCACGAATGCGTAAAGTCACAGTCTAGCTGCGATGTGACTTTGGGTACTATTTAGCCAATCCGCACCTTACGCTCTCGCTACCGCTGCTCTCGTATCTAGCACTGCTGTTCGATTCTCTTCTTGTCCTTGTAATCGTATCACGTATCCTTTGCGAGGCGAAGCTGGAGTCACCTGCTTTCCTGGGAAGAGCTGGAGTTGGTTCGCTCTCGCTCTCTCGTGGACTATACCTCGACGATCGTGTGCTTAATGGACTCGCCTCGGGCGAGAGGTGCTGCAAGAAATATATCTATGTTTACATGATGGACGAGCAAATGTTATAAATGTATAACAACAAGCAAATGTATAACACAGACAGATACAAAATAACTAGGCAAAATAAAGTTGATCTATCGAATCTGAAGCGAAGAAAAACTGATACCTTTTATCAGCTATATAATACTTACACTGGAACATCGTTTATTCGTAGTTTCGTCCGTGTCGTCGGGATTGGAAAATTCCTCCTTGGAAAATTTTCGCCGCATCTGTATCACACGAATGACCATGATAGGAAGAATTTCATCTTTCTCTATAAAGACGTGCTTTGTATTCTTATATGATTAGTTAATTATAAAGTATCAAAATTAGATATAGAAATTTGAAATGGTCTTATCGTATGTATTGCAGAATGAATATTGAGAGTTGAATTTTTATTCAGCATTGCAGCTGAATTATATTATATATATATATATATATTATTATATATTAGAAAAATTCAAAATGCACTATGTGAGAGTATTACTTCATTACTTCCATGCATCATATGTTCGTTAAGTATATTATAGTGTTATTAAGTATATTAAGTATATTAAGTGTCTTACATAACAAAAGTAATGACTACAAACGCATAACTATACACACTCCGTTAATTGCAAAACTATAATGCCTGAATAATAATATTGCCTTTGGAAGACTTCATAACACATGCGGCTTAGCATGGCCTCGATGAGTAATCTCTTACTCAACAAGTTCCGAATGCTTTGCTGGTACTATTCTTTCACAAAATATTAAATTCTCTGACAATCCCATCAAATACATTTGAATATAAATCTATATACATCAACAGAAATAATATAACATAACAATTGATTCTTTAATCCTTATTCAATTAACAAACCTTTCAGATTCAAAGATAATAATCGATACTAACCATTTGGAAATCTTCAGACTTCTTCCCCTGACCAAGATCCGCAGCAATTTTCTTCTCATTCTCCCTTAAATCAATGCAATCGGCTTCAACGTGATCAAACTCGGAATCATCGGTTTCCTTGGTAGACTCGATGTCTTTATACCCTTCTTCATCTTGATATTCTTGATCTATCTGATCCTCTTGCTCCGTCGCAATCTTCTTCGCCTTGTCACTCTTCTTAACACCTTGCTTGAACAGCTTCTCTTCAGCAGCAACGACGTCGAGCATGATCTTTTCCTTGGTATCCGGTTCGGGTTTCACTCTGTCATTCTCTCTTGCATTTACGCATTCCTCCTCGTTCCGCGACCACTTCTCGTCAAACGTCTCCCTGTCTTCTCTAGCCAGCACCACTTTAGTCCTGGCCTGTTCTTGCACCGTCGACTTTGGTCTCGAAGAGACACCCACGCGCTCCTCCTCTTTGCCATCTTGCTTTCCTTTTGCAGCGACGCCCGTGGCGTTTCCATTGGAATTCCCCCCGCTGTTCCTGCCCACGTCCTCGCGGCTGTTGTCCCGTCGGAACAGTCTAATACCGTGTTTACAGTCCTCCTTGTTCCCCGATTGAAACGGGCTGCCTCTCACCTCCTCCTTCGAGTTCTTGCGGCTTAACTTCCCTCCGAACCTTATATCGTCCTTGCTGTCGTGACGCTTCAGCTTATCGTCCTTATTGCGGGGTGATAACAATTTAGGGATCAGGCTGGGCACGCTGATGTCCTCGCGGCTCCGCCGTAGATCGTCTGTGCTACTCCTGTATCTGTAACGAATTATCGGCTCACTTTAGCTGGAAGTATTCATGTTTCAAACGTGAAGCGTGGGGTCAGAACCATTTACGTTTCCCTAACTCGATTACAATCAGGTAAGGGTAGATATGAATCATGTAGTGCGCCAATATAAACGCTGTGATTCACAGGGAGCAAAATTAATCAGTGGCGAAGTTTCAGCTACACCTGAGTGTAAAAGTTAAAAATATGGGTGAACGTTTTCTTTTTCCTTGAGTATTTTAATAGCATGTATTGAAATTAGAAAGTGTAATTTAATAAGAACTCGTACTGTATATTGACAAAAATTAGTAATATTTACTTTATTCTTGTCGAACAAGATATTCATGTTGCTGACAGAAATTTCCTCCACATTTTGATTTTTATAAAATAATTTATGTAAGTGAAGATTTGCATACAAACACGCAGTGCATTAAGACAAGTACATAGCGTAAATCGTTGTTAGATACGTAACAGTAACATATGCCTACTCCGTTATCAGTAACACGCATGCTTCAAGAATTTTATTGCTTCTCTTCATAGGAACGCTAAATCTAAGTAATTATTTCGTAGATCTCTTACAATCTTAACTGCATTTATTTTGCAGTTAAGCACAAACCTATATCGCTTTCTGGAATTGTTTTCATTCGATGTTCTCTAACTGTATCGTATATTGTTTGAGGAATGAACTCAAACAAATAATTAAGTAAAATCAAAAAATTATTTAGTGACCGCATTTCTAATTTCTATATCTAATCATTTTATGCACATAAAATTCTCCAGATGACCAGAAAAATTGATTGAACAATTTCTTGCGTTGAAACTAATAAACAATCTGAGGAGAAAGGAGTGATGTAAGCAAGGAAAGGTACCTTTGTGGTATAAGGGAACGTTTCGTCGACTCTTGTGGGCTCCTAATGTCTTCGAACTCCTTCGAACTTCTCCGGAATATAGGAATACTGGATTTTCTCTCGCTATGCTTCGACTGACCGAACTTTATATCCGGTGAGATGAACTTCGACAAGATCCTCGGCGGCTTTATCAACGAGAGTTTCGGCGTGCTATGCTCCAGATTATTTCCGGACTCCTCCTTCTCATCAGCCTTCGTTTTACTGCCGGTCGTTGCGACAAATCGGTCGAACTTCTTCGGTTTTATGGCATCGACGGATGGCACTTCTCCCTCCTGAATGCACGGCGATTTTTCTGCACATCGTGTGCTCGTTCGTTCGTTCGTGTCGATTCGCAGCGCGGAATTCTCCGATGCAATTACTACGTCCTTTGCGGAACCATAACAGTCCACCTGCTTGTTCGCCTCCTCCTGGTACGAGCTCAGCAATTCGCCGATCACAGGTTTCACGATTTCGTTCTCGTCGATGATATTCCGATACTCCTGGCGACGAGATGGCAAGCTCCGGTAGATTCGCAGCTCTGACGATTTTCTTCCCGCGGACCAGCGTGTGGGTGGACCTGCATACCAAACAGAACTTTTATCTCACCCTTGCCGTAAAAGGACCTTCAAGGAAGGTTCCGGTCTAGGAGGCTGGAACCTTATTATTGGAAACTGTTATACTCATTTCACCATAAAATCAACTATTTCAGAATTTTCGGTACTTGTTAACAGATTCTTTCAAAGTCTAAAAATCAAATAATTTTTAATTATGGTAAAATAACGTAAGTTCCAGTGAGTTTAGACTCTTCGGTTTTAAAACTAAATGGAGAAATGGAAGTCACAAAATATTCTTGTTTCTTACCACTTTTTCAGAATTCTACCAATTAGTAAGTTTTGATCAAACCTAGGGTACACTTTGCATCATTTATAGCAGTTCCAAGATATGGCAGTTCGTAAATTTATATTTACAAATAATTATTCCAATCTTACTATTAATAGTCCAAGCACGTCGAATGCTGTGCTTCAATAATTCGACAGGGGACGCCGAAGTTTTTCCGTTTATGGACCCTTTGCACACCGCAGTTTCGTACGTCCAATTTCCTGTAGTGGCATTCAGTTCCCTGAAAACAGAAACATTGCAAAATTAGTGTTATTATATTCGGTTCGCCAAAGCCTTCTATGCATGGCTCGTGGTGGATTAGGCACGGAGCTGGGACCTGGATCGTGGGGCGGATCTCGACTCTCGAGATCACGAGTTCAAGTCCCGCTTGTGCCTGGGTTCCTCTTTGTATCTAGGACTCTATGTATACTCAACGTATTCTACTGAACTCATATTCTCACAGTAACGTTTCGCAATATATAAATAAAAATATAAATAATTCAAATTTCTTTCGTATTGTCTAGAAGATAAGACAGAAAAAGATAATCCTAATCATCGTCTGTTACATACGAAATTATAAATTGTAAAAAAATCTAAATTACATTACGAAATATGTATTTCTTATGATTTTATATTTCAGCTTCCGAAAACATGAAAAGAACTTTCCATTATCTCTGGATCAGGTCGATTGTTCAACGCAAAACCTTCTACAGGATAAGGTCAGAGAGAGAGAGAGAGAGAGAGAGAGAGAGAGAGAGAGAGAGAGAGAGAGCATATAGGAATTAGAATCAAACGTATAAAACTTCTACGAACGTGTTCATTCAATTCTATTTACAGCGTCATTCGTCACTATAATTTCTGCGGAAATAGCCCAAGTTGGTTAGAATAAGCATATCTGCAGCTATAAGGAAAAATGTCGCATGTCGCAATTGAAAACAAAATTTAATTTTACGCATTATTATAGCTCAGCAAAATAATTCAATTTAGAACGCTGATAATTCTAATTAGTGATAAGAAAACATGTGACGTGCGGCGGATTTTCTTCGCAACCACCGATATGAGCGTAACTCGAATGCAATAATCTTCCAACACTGTTCTCAGAATGCAACACGGGCTTTTCCGCATCCCCACAAGCCCGATACATAATCGCCTACACCTCCAGAATCAACTCTGCACGCTTCCAAAAAGCTCTGTTGCGGTTCAAACACTTCACACTGAGTAGAGTCCCAATACTAATCGCAGAACGAGTATCGTGTTTTCATGGTCACAAGTACCTCACTGCAGTCACGCACTCGGAATGATTCGCGTCCCTAAATAATCGAGCGACTACAGTTAAGATTTTGACGGCGGTAACAGGATCTCTGCACCATTGTCCTGCGAGAGTATGCTCCCGGATCGGCTGGGAGACACCTCGGATACTTTCATACGGGAAGGGAGCAGTTACTCACGCGATTCCGTAGCAAACGTTGCAGATCCATTCGACGTCTTTGTTATCGGCGAGGCTTCTGACCTCGATACGGCACTGTCTGCAAACTCTTCGGGCGCAGCGTGTACACCTCGCGCCGGTGTTGTAAAATCTTCCGAACGGTGCGCCGCATCTGGTGCATTTGCGTCCTTGGTACGATAGCTCGCCGGACGACTTTAGAAGTCCCCTCCTCCGCAGGAATTGCAGATCGGCCTTCAGTCTTCTGCAATATGCACGATTTCTACTTATTGTTAGAGCATTAGGCAAAAGACCAACACGAATAGTCAAGAACATACATCAACATTCCAATGAAAAAGTCAACAATAAGCGTTATTTTTTTACTTAGAAGTTGTACATTTTTTAGACAAACTTTAGACTAACAATCTACTTATTGTTAGAGCATTGGGCAAAAGACCAACACGAATAGTCAAGAACATACATCAACATTTCAATGAAAAAATCAACAATAAGCGTTATTTTTTTACTTAGAAGTTGTACCTTTTTTAGACAAACTTTAGACTAACAATCTATTTATTGTTGGAGTATTGGGCAAAAGACCAACAAGAATAGTCAAGAACATACATCAACATTTCAATGAAAAAATCAACAATAAGCGTTATTTTTTTACTTAGAAGTTGTACCTTTTTTAGACAAACTGAGATATTCGAAGTTAGTCGATGGAATTCGATTTCTTAGTGGAAGATAGATTTTGATATTTGAATTGTGTGTGGATCTTCTAGCTGTGATAGCTAAACGGTCAATATACGAACGGCCCAATGAATGAAGATTTCCTGTATTATATGAAAAATTAACGTTAATCGCAGCCATTTTACACTAAACTTTATACATCGGTTCTATCATACACATACAAATATCTTGCAGATGTTATCTTGTAAAAGTTTATCGATTTCATTTATGTGCTTATTCATTGGTGGTTTGACGCGTTTTTCATTAATCTTACATTTTACACATTTAAAAATGCTATAACTATCAAACAATGCCATATAATTACTTACGATAATATGATTCAGGGGATTAAATAACGATCATTTTGACAAGCGCGTAGCTTAAGCGTTCATTCACTGTGGACAGATCACCTAAGTAACCTTTAATTTGTATTGTAATATTTTTTTGAACTATCGTGAATAAGATGATATAATTTAATATGATCTCGTTAGTACGGAAACATGTAAAATTGTTAAAGTGAAAAATTGTTCCGTTGAAGCAGAAACGTGCAAATGAAGGCCAACCAAAATTGCGTACGTTTACTTGTGATAATAATAAAATTTAAAATTAATTTAAAATTAATAATACGCAATAGGTGTATGTATACTATAACTAATAGCGAATGCTTGCTCAAGAAAATCGTGAAAAAAGCAACGCGCCATAAAGGTAAATAAACATGTGAACGAAAACATAAAATGCATGGCCAACGAATTGCGAACTTGACTTGCAATTTTGCACAATCTGCAACAAAATCCCTGACGTTTGTAAATTTCCAAAACGATCGGCGAAGTTCAAAAGCTAACGACACAACTGTGTGTACACGCAAATTGCCTTCCGAGCAATGTAACGATGCTACACAAAGTAGAGTGCTGACAAAATCGTGCAAATAATGCAAGAATACTACAGTGACTAATGAAAGTATTCGGACAGCAGCATGCATTCAATTTCCGCATAAATATCACGGAGCAGTGCCATTTCCTTGAAAAACTTGCATACGTATTGGTACACGTTGGACAAATAATGCGCTCAATTTTTCTGAGAAATTGAAGGCAATAAATAGAAGCCGCGGCAATGTTTGTAACAACAACGTATTCATTTCGTACAACAAACGTACTTGATTATTGATAAAGATCGTAATTTATCATCTGTTCTGGCGCAAGGAATATGAACTTAAATGAATGTGAACTTCAGAGAGCGCGTTTTTCGTTATTAAGTATTTATTTACATCTGCCCAGATAATATGATCGTTTTGTAAATATTAGTCTTCGCTGGATCTTTTTAATGATGCAACATTGCCGAAACAAGTTTTAATAATATCGTGAGCAATTAAACCGCAGTCCCGCATTTTTCGGAACAATTTTCGAAGTATAGATATCGCAGTAGATGATGCACGTTTTAAGTGCTTCTTAATGCATCCATTTGAAATCAATGCATCGGTGCATGACACGTGCGTTACAATAACAGTAAAAGCGATGACAACGCTTGAGTAATTCAGCACAAGAAGCCGAACGAATATCGTATGGGAAGGAGACAGTCCCCATCTTCAAAGTAACGCTGTAATTCGGGCTTCTTGAAACGCGGAACAATGCGTTTTCTCATCATTAAAATAATTAATCGTTGCACTCCCCGTAAGTGCTGAGCAAGAATCTCGTCTGGTATCATTCAATAGATTTCTGTCCTGGCTTGTGCTCCACGAAACATGAAATCATCATGCACTATCATTTCACATAAAATATCATTCCGCGGGTTCAAGTAATTGTACATTTGATACAAGTCGATGAAAATCAGCTCATTACACAGGCAACTTAGCTGGCGAACACAACGGAGTGAAATTTCTCCTTGAATTACCTATTTCTAACAAATAACGAAAAAACCGAACCGATCATTTTGTTCCGGTAATAATACAAGAAACCATTCGGTAATCCTTACCTGACGATGAAGTGGTATCTTTCGTTTACGTTTGCGCGGCCCTCCTTTAACTATTTAACGAGTAGTCTCGACAAGATAACGACAAGAAAATAATGAAATTGGTTAGAAAGGGAGGTTCGACAAATTTCAATGACGAAGGGTACTGTGATATCATTAGGGAGGAGGATGGAGCCTCGCAGGATGAGGATTTGGCAATAAGTGAAAGTGAAGGGCGGACAATATGGTAAAGAGAACGATGTGTAGGAGAACACCTGGGATAAAGGACGTACTATCCAAAACGAATGAGAGAGTGCTAAGAAACATCCATTTTGAAATTTTACTAACAAGAGAAATTCGTGATTGGACGAACTGTACTCTAGTGGAACCTAGTGCAAGGTTTAAAAACACTGTGCACTTGTAAAGCTTCAGACACAAATTGTTCATAATTTCTTCGTACTTCACAATTACCATAAAAATGACATTATTATTGTGACAAATGGTCGTAGTAGTAACGATAATTACAAAAAGCTACCTAATCGTCACAAAATCGTTAATATACATGATACTTAAAACAAAATGAACTAAAAATACCCATACTGATAAACGTAAATTAAATCAACGTTACAAATCAATTACAAAATATTAAAAACTCTAAAAAAAGAAAATCTTCGGAGTTTTCAGTGATTGCAGCCGAAAAAAGAATACGAAAATATATTATATCTGATTCAACAGATTCGAAGAAATTTTCCGGGGGAGCTATGATCAAGTAAGTAGATTGACGATCGAATGGCATTAATTTGATGACATTAAAAAAAGTATCAAGTTGGAAATTAAATGGGAGAGAGTGAAGATTGCAGCTTGCTAGTTACTAGTTATACAGGAAACACCTAATTCTATGTATTAGTCACAAATTATGAAGTATCAACTATACATACGATAAAACTTATGAAGTAGAATTCTCTCATTTTCTACTTCAATCCTTGCAATTGTGAAAAATTATTATTATTACACGAACGATGTGAAAGTTTCTCAGTGATCGATTACCGGATATTCTTAGGTAAACAATGTGTTTCAAAAATGCCATAACATCTGAAACATACATTCATACATACAGACAAATATGAATCGAAGGGTTCTGTCATTTTACGCACCAAGGCGTCCTATTCGAGATATAAATAGTTGGAAATTGATGGTTCGACTTCCGGAGCGCGCAGTTTAAACTCCAGTCAGCAGAGTGCTTACTACACAACGCACTGACTGACTACACATAGTCGAAAAATAGAGGACGATGCCCCCGAGACAGTGGGCCTTTCCCTTGAACACTCTATCACGACTTTTCAGTAGCCTTTAACGAGCTGTTCTCCTTTTCTTGTAACACTACGTATTCGTATTTTTACTAATCTTATTTTACATTGTACACAATTTGCATATACGTAAGAAATTTTATTGTAAATTGATATGAGACGAACTCTGAAGGAAGACACTTTACGATAAGAATTTCTGTAAAGTATTTGTCCACAAAAAATTTACCAATATATTGTATAAATGAATTATTATTGCTTTGATCAGGTGTGCTATCTCATGTATATTGTTTCAATTTCGTAGGTAATTTCAAATAGAATGACTGAGGCATGATATTAATAAGAGAACTGGTAAAGATACAAATCGTATAATTTAAATAATATTATGTTTCATGTTTGCTTGATAGCCATGATAATTCTGAATACGCAAATAAAATTTTTAATATGCTGCTGAATCGTAAACGTATTCCATTGAAGAATGGAATTCTAATGTTAGCAAATTATCCGGTAATAGGTAGTTAGAATTGTGTCGCCAGATAATTAGTGGATGTTAGACTATCTTATTCGAACTTAATGATAAAGGAGACGTTTTTATCTAATCTTACAAGATCATTGTCTTTCCCTGGGAAAGTTGACCAGGGAAAGTGTCCTCGGCTCAAGTGTCCGTCCCGGCTGGAACGCCAACATTTGCAAACTATCCGCCAGTGTTGGCGATACTGACAAAGGACTTCGCAACTGAACAGTATCACCGACGTATATGTATTACTCGACCAACCCTGCTTTCTCTAGACCTCATAACAATTGCATTGTAAATGCCCTTAAATAGTTTTCTGATGCTTCTTACATCTCTGTCAAGTATTGCACTTTACTGCCATTTCTGACAAGTTGCGTTCGCGAATTTCAATTTCGTTATTTCGCTTTTAAATAGAAAAATTTTTATTAAAAAATTGCGTTATCGCATTTATTGCAATTTTTTCATTCTGCGAATTCTTTTCATTATTATGACACAATGAATGTAAACGACAAAAAAGATCGTTTGTATAGCAATTACCGAATTTTGTTTACATTTGTTGTCATTACAAATTGTTGTAAACATAAACCTGAATATGAAATCTCTGGATATGCAATTGCGATTATTTTAGCTGCTCATTAATCATAATTACCGATTACTCGGTAATCATAGCCAGTTACTAATGACCAGATTTATTAATCATTAGCCGACACTGCCGGCAAGGTCATTATAGGTTCAACGGAGGTTTACTGGAAAATCATTTGTACAAAAATATTC